CACCTACAATCCCTGCCGGTACGAGACTCGAACCCACAACCTTTGGGTTATGAGTCCGACTCTCTAACCATTAGGCCACGACTTCCCCAAAGTTATCATTCCCTGACCGGCAATCAAAGCCGGGCCGCGGAGGTGATAGCGCTGAATCTTAACCACCAGACCACCAGGTAGCGCAAATAGTTGTATCTCAGCCAAATATTGTCCTATCCTAACAAACCATACATCAATGGAAAGCTATTTATTTAGCTTTCAGATGATGCATAAATCTCAATTTTGAAAAACTGACACTTAGGACTGGTTTTGTGCTCCAAGGTCACATATTAACATGAACATCTTAAACATGAGAAAAAGATGTCAGTCTAGTGCATGTTTAACATAGGAAAAAAGCAGCACTGTGGAACGCAAAAACATGTTTTATGTCACGCTGAAATGCACAGCGCTGTATAGATCTAGCAACATCAAGATCATGGGTTCAATTGTTATTCACATGCAGTACTGCGCAAGTCTTTGGCACATTGGATGCTTGTCAAAAACATTGGTTTTAAGACAGTTCTTTGTTTTTCACAATGTGAAACTTCTTCTAGATGCTTAGAACAACCAACCTGCAGGGTACGGTACTGTGAGAAGTTTTAGCCACTGCTTGTAAGGGTTATTTATCTATCACGTCGATATTTGGTGCATCCACCCTTTGCTTTGTCCCAAGTACTCCTGTGCACCATTTACAAGAAAGTTTGCAGGTAGGTTGTTCTAACGTCTTGGAGAAGATTGCACGGTCACCGTGTTAAACAGAGTGATTTTCTGAAGCGTCTAATGTGCCAGAGTCTTTAGCACAGCACTGTGCGAGCTCCACTTGCACACCTTTGGATGCTCTGTATATCGCTTCGGGTGAAAGCTTCTGCAGAATGTAAAATTTGATATGTTTTTTAAAAACGCAAGATGTTGAAAATATGACAGGCTGAGCTAAGGCTGGCACGCCAGAAGGTTTTTTCCCTGTGCTTCTGCTGAGCTGTGCAGGCTGAAGGTTTTGGGTGCGTTACATCTGCTAGATAGATTTCTGTCAGCTGCTCTCCAGTGGCAGCGAGAGGATCAGATCTGTGAGTCCATGTTACGCTCTGCCTGAACACCTCAGCACACATTGCTGCTCTTAAAATGGCTGCCCTTGAAGCTCAAAGGATCTGTGGCGCTCAGTGGCTGTCCGAGCCGCGCCAAGCACATGAAAGCTTTACAAATTTCACCCCATTAGCCTGGAAGTATCTGACGCTCCGGCGGATGGGCTGCTAGGTGCAATTTTGTGTTGTTCAATGTCTCCTAGTTTTGCATTTGTGTTTTCCTCCTCTACCAGACTTCATGGTTTGTCCAGATATGGCTGTCGAGATGAGTGTAAGTTTGCTCTGAGTTCCTCTCGAGTGCTGGAACACATCAGGGCCGAGCTGAAACTTGACCTCGAGAGACAATGGGTGAACCTGCCTTGGGACACACTGGCAGTGTTATTGAGAATGAAGGTTGAAACCAGTGTCTGCTTTTACGGTTTGAGGCCACAGGTGATAAGCCATAGGTGTGAGAGCTCGGATATCTTTATTCTCGACAAGAGAGATCTTCTCATCTTGCAGGAATTTCAGCCATAAAACCTGTTTTCAGTCTTGTGTCTGTTGCATGTACTAATTTGATGGGTTTTAATCATTAGGTATTAAACCCTTAAGCATTGATGCATAACTCCTCCTGCACCACTTGTGCAACAGACATGATGTGATATTGCTGTCATTTTAGTATTTTCATCAGGTGGGTGAAGCAACGATAATGTAGGATGCTCCACTTGCACACCTTTGGATGCTCTGTATATCGCTTCGGGTGAAAGCTTCTGCAGAATGTAAAATTTGATATGTTTTTTAAAAACGCAAGATGTTGAAAATATGACAGGCTGAGCTAAGGCTGGCACGCCAGAAGGTTTTTTCCCTGTGCTTCTGCTGAGCTGTGCAGGCTGAAGGTTTTGGGTGCGTTACATCTGCTAGATAGATTTCTGTCAGCTGCTCTCCAGTGGCAGCGAGAGGATCAGATCTGTGAGTCCATGTTACGCTCTGCCTGAACACCTCAGCACACATTGCTGCTCTTAAAATGGCTGCCCTTGAAGCTCAAAGGATCTGTGGCGCTCAGTGGCTGTCCGAGCCGCGCCAAGCACATGAAAGCTTTACAAATTTCACCCCATTAGCCTGGAAGTATCTGACGCTCCGGCGGATGGGCTGCTAGGTGCAATTTTGTGTTGTTCAATGTCTCCTAGTTTTGCATTTGTGTTTTCCTCCTCTACCAGACTTCATGGTTTGTCCAGATATGGCTGTCGAGATGAGTGTAAGTTTGCTCTGAGTTCCTCTCGAGTGCTGGAACACATCAGGGCCGAGCTGAAACTTGACCTCGAGAGACAATGGGTGAACCTGCCTTGGGACACACTGGCAGTGTTATTGAGAATGAAGGTTGAAACCAGTGTCTGCTTTTACGGTTTGAGGCCACAGGTGATAAGCCATAGGTGTGAGAGCTCGGATATCTTTATTCTCGACAAGAGAGATCTTCTCATCTTGCAGGAATTTCAGCCATAAAACCTGTTTTCAGTCTTGTGTCTGTTGCATGTACTAATTTGATGGGTTTTAATCATTAGGTATTAAACCCTTAAGCATTGATGCATAACTCCTCCTGCACCACTTGTGCAACAGACATGATGTGATATTGCTGTCATTTTAGTATTTTCATCAGGTGGGTGAAGCAACATTAGGGCCTTTCGCACCGCTGGAACCTTTTCATAGTACCAGAACTAATTGTGGAACTACCCACTTTTTGGCGTTTTCGCACCGCCGGAACTGGGTGCGATTTTAGTACCGGACTGCCTTTTTCGAGAACCAAATTAGCTCCTACTCCGGAGCAGGGTCTAACCAGCACAACTGGTACTAATCGTGACGTAAGTAGACATTGATTGGCCAAACGTGTATGAAAACGCCCTGTTGGAGATTCTTAGTCTCAACAACAAAAACACAGCTCCGATCACAGCGTCCTCCATCCTCCTGTTGTTAATGTTCTTTTTTGTTTCTGTTGTCGAACGCCGCGCACAAATGACGTCGCTGTCGACCGGCTTACGTCACTTCTTAGTACACACTGTCGGTGCGAATGCAACCCTTTAAATAGTACTGGGAAATAGTTCACGCAAAATCGTCCCAGTACTTTAGTACTGTTCATTTAGTTCTGGAACTAAAGCGGTGTGAAAGGCCCTAATAATGTAGGATGGGATTTAATTTGGTAACACTTTGGTTGACTATAAATAACTTTGCAACTACTAACAGTCATTAGAGTAGACTGTCTGCTTAATATCTGCTACTAACCCTAACCTAACAGTCTGCTAATACTGTAATGACTGCTAGTTAACATGTAGTTGCAAAGTTACTTAAGTGGACTATCAAAATAAAGTGTAACTCTTAATTTTATCTAATAGGATTTGATTGCACCATGTAAAGATAATATTGATCAATATTATTATTACCCAACTGCATTGCCTTGGTTACATCAAAAGAAAGGTTTTTATTAGCTTTTGATGAAAGTAAACAATAATTTTTGTTGCTTTAGAATTGCAAGTAATGCAATGAATAGGAACAGTGAAATTTACTAAAGTAAATAGTGGATTTTGATTTCACATCATCTTTAAGGTGCTGATGTTGTATGATAACTGTAGTTCATGCATTTGTGTCTCTTGTTTTAATAACAATTGCATGTCCTTGATATTATTTTGGTCCCTTTTCTTGGCGAATTAAGAGTCTCTTGACTGATTTGATCTCAGTTTGTCCTCACAACCGGTAAAAATGGTTCATTATGCCTTTAGAATGACTAAGATCCAAGTAGAATCTATTTTGTTTGTTTTTACAGCATTCAAGGCCTCCTCTAATGTGTAGCATTGCACTAAGCCCATGTAACACTGGCCTTGACATTGAGGCCTTTTCTTGCAGAAATCACCTGCAGAATGTGTCCTGGTGCATGAGCCAGCCAAGGCTGAAGATTTACTCTGGTTTGTGTTGATGGCTTTCAGATCTGCAGCGCTGGTACCGTGCTGTATGACTGCTAAATGCATTCCTGTTGTTGAGTTCATTCTAATATTCATGTCCTTGCCACACAGATCACATTGAGAATGACCCTTGATGAAAGAAAAACATGCTCGCTGTCTCTGTACATGGCTTTTTACCGGAAAAATTACTTGGTATTATAGAGAAAAGCGGCGGTTGTGGTTGTATATGTATTTTTGGACTTAAGGTTTACATGAGGTTAGTGGTGAATTATTTTTATTCAAATCATATGTTCCAAACATACTCTCTGTCATTTTAGATTTTAATTTTATTGGTTTATGAAAATGTTCAGTGCAGTCTAATGAAATATTGCAATATTCCCAAGTACAGCAGGGATTTGTGCACAGACAAGCATGTGTATGTGCTGAATTTGGCAGCTGTGCGAGTGTTAATGAAAAAGTATTGATCAAGGAAGGAATCATACTTTGTTTCAGCTCATTGATTGATGCGGTTGCCGGGTGCTCTTAGGTCACGGGGCATAATAATGCCACCTCCAAGTGACGGCCCGCCCCATAATCCTTTGTGTTTGTACTGCATCTCTGAAGCCCTGAGCGTTCCTCATCCCTCGGCAGATTCACTCAATCTTATTTCAGACGGGCTTGATGCAATCTGATGGAACATGCTGATGTAAATACCAAGGCCCACTGGTGTGCTCCAGCTGAGGCTTATCCCTGGGTAATAAAAAATGGAACAAATCAGCCCATAATCCCTCCTCAGCTATTGTTCTTGGAGCAGACTGACCCCTCGCCAAAAAAATAAAGATTCTTCTGTTGAATTCTGCCAAGTCAGAATTTCAGAATGCTTTCGTCTTGCTGTGAAATGCAATGCTGTGAAATTTCCTTTCCAAGTGTTGGTTTATGGCCCGAGTTTCTATTCTCTTACCCCTTTCTTTCTGTCTCTAACCAGGTTTCCCTGATTTTCCAGGGAGTCCTAAGCGATGGAAGTGCTGCAGTGCGATGGCTGTGATTTCCGTGCAGAGTCGAACGATGAGCTCAAGGCGCACATACAAGACATCCACACGGCCTTCCTGCAGCCCACAGAAGTGGGAGAAGGTGACGAGTCACCCAGACAGTCCAGGTCAAACTCGTTAAACTCCCTCAGCCAAACAGAGGACGAGGAAGACTTGAGCAATCACAATTACGACTCGTTAAAAAAGGAAACAGGTATAATGACCCATTAGTATTAGACCTCTAGAGTGAAAGAAACTACATCAGAAGAGTTGTTCTACCATTTGAAATGTTTTTCTTTCTCTGTTCATGTTTCAGGCATCCAATCCATTAACAAAGACCTTGGGCACTTCTCTGGTTCAAAGCAAGCGAAACGCAACCAGACAGCAAAACCTTCGAACAAAACGTCAACTCCATTTTTCCAGTGCAAGTTCTGTGTGCGGTACTTCAGATCCAGCTCTCTTCTCAGTGAACACACCAGGAAGGTCCATGGAGAAGCAAGCAATGAGAGATCCCTCAAAACTTCCAAGAAGGCCAGCTGCAGCGCTACAACTTACGATGGTGTAGGAACGGTCTTTTCCTGCCAGTATTGCACTTATAAATCCCCACACAGAGCACGGATTCTGAAACACCAGAAAATGTATCACAAAGAAGGTCTACCAGGCCACTCGGCTCCTCCTGTTGGAGCAGAGGTTTTGGATTTGAACTCTGACGCCTCCTCCGTTGAAGAACAATGTGAAGAGTCGCCAGGGGATGTAGAACGTAATGTGCTGGAATCTATGATAACGCCCCAGTCAAGAGGAAGCTTTGACTGTGAGTGGTGTGGATTTCAGACTTCGCAAAGGCAGCAGTTAGCCGATCACATGATGAAGAAACACCGTAACATGGTAAAGATCATGGTGTCCTTGCAACAGCCCAAAATGCAGGACGGAAGTGCAGGGTCCAGCAAGTCTGATTCTGCTTCATCCAGGAGAAGCACTCCAACCTCCAATTTGAACCTGAACGATCTAGCGTGCAATGAAGGTTCCTCCGCAAATGCCTCGTCAATCAAAGGATCCTCTGGCAATGCATCACTCAAGGCCACTTCAGGGATATCAAGTTTTCAGTACTCACAGCTCACAGCAAAAATACCTAACAGCACAGGATCTTCCATACTGTCAGAGAGATCGACTTTCACCATGTCAGATATGTCTAGGTCTGGCATGGATCTAGATGCCAGCATGCTGAATGATTCCAAAAGCAGTTCAGATGATGAACTCTGTGGCTTGGATGATCCCAATTACACGGAGTCAGCTGAGGATTCTACTAAGCTGCTTCTGTCAGAAGAGGATAATGACCTGCTGGAAACTAAAGGAGTTCCATTCAAAAGACACATGAACAGGTTCCAGTGCCCTTTCTGCTCCTTCTTGACCATGCACCGGCGTAGTATTTCTCGTCACATAGAGAACATACACTTATCTGGCAAAGCTACAGTGTATAAATGTGACGAGTGCCCCTTTCTTTGCACCAACCCACTTAAACTTGACGCGCACAAACAATGTCACGGTGGGTCTTCCGAATGGGACACTATGGACTTAACCAGTGAAAGTGTAGATGGTCCGGCTGAACGCTCCGAGCCGGTGAACAGGGGAAACGGCAGCTCTAAAATCAACGGGAAAAAATCCAGCACAGTCGAGGAACTGCAGGGTCCTCATCGGTGCTCACTGTGTAACTTTTCCACCATCACACTGAAAGGTCTACGTGTCCACCAGCAACACAAACACTCATACTGTGATGGAACACAAGTCACAGGTCAAGAGGGCTCGTCCAATGAGCAGCAAGATTCTGAGTCTGAGTCCTACAGCTCCTTGAGCTTCGTTCAGAAAACTCAGACCTCAATCCTTGGAATTTCAACCAAGAAGCATCTTATTGGGAAGACAGCAAGAAAGTCCATCAATGATTTGCCCTTGGATCTCTCTCCTGTCAAAAAACGGACGAGGATTGATGAAATTGCAAACAATCTCCAGAGCAAGATTAGTCAAAGCCAGCAGCACGAAGATGTGATTAACCTTGAGGAGATGGACAACGATATGGAGGAGAATGGGAATCACATCGATTTAGAAACAAGCAAAGAGAGAGAAACCTCTGATGCTCAAAGTCAGCACTACACCTTCAACACTCAGCACCTTCATGTTAGAAATTCTGGAAGTCTTCAGACAGAGCGTGGTGTTGGGAAAAGAAAACGCAATCTGCAGTCCAAACTCAGCTCAAGAAACATTCCTGTTCAAGTAACCATTTCTGATGATGAAGACAATTACAGTGCCTCTTTGGAATCTAAAGATGCCCAAGATCAAAGCAGCCAAGATAGCAGAGAGACATATCAAGACAACACTGAATACAATACTGAAGAACCTGGGAACCTGTTCTACTGCAAACATTGTGAGTACCAAAACAAGTCTGCTCGCAGTGTCAGCACACACTACCAGAGGATGCACCCTTATATCAAGTTTAGCTTCAGATACATCCTGGACCCAGAGGATCAGAGCGCAGTCTTCCGTTGTCTCGAGTGCTTCATCGAATATAACAACTTTAATGATCTGCACCAGCACTATATGACACACCATCCAGAAGCAAGCAACGTTTTGAACTTTAACCAGCCAGATCTGGTGTACATGTGCCGTTTCTGTTCCTACACAAGTCCAAATGTGCGGAGCCTGATGCCCCATTATCAAAGAATGCACCCTTCAGTGAAGATCAACAATGCCATGATCTTCTCCAGCTACATGGTCGATCAGCCTCATAAGGGGGCTGCTGAATCCCAAACACTGAGGGAAATCTTGAATTCTGGGCCCAAGAGTTTCAGCCCCACCTCATCTGGGTCCAGATCATCATCCAGTCCTGCTCTCAAAAGCATCTGCAAAACGCCAGAAGCAAACACTGAGACTGAAGCTTTTCGAGAAAGTCTGGGTGGTAATGTGGTGGTTTACGACTGTGATGTCTGTTCTTTCTCAAGTCCCAACATGCACTCAGTATTGGTCCATTATCAGAAAAAACACCCCGAGCAAAAGGCCTCCTACTTCCGCATACAGAAGACCATGCGGGTCATATCTGTTGACCAAGCACAGTTGTCAAACAATTCAACCTACAGCCTGACGAGCACCCCCAAGTCTTCAAACGTCATCTTGCCTGTGGCTCTGGATGAAGATGTTTACTACTGCAAACACTGTGTCTACAACAACCGCTCTGTAGTGGGCGTTCTGGTCCACTATCAAAAGCGACATCCGGAGATTAAGGTGACGGCAAAGTACATAAAGCAGGCACCCCCAACTCCGGGACTGCTGAAACTCATGGATGAGTTACAGATCGCACCTCCTAAACAGTTTCTGAAGCAATTCAACAACAACGGGATTGAAGGGTCAGGTAATTCCAACACTAAAGGAGCATCCGACAAAGGGGAACCTGAAATGCTGTTCTTCTGCCAACACTGCGACTACGGGAACCGCACTGTGAAGGGGGTCTTGATTCACTACCAGAAGAAGCACAGGGACGTGAAAGCCAATGCCGACCTCGTCCGTAGACACACGGCTGTGGTCAGGAGTCAGAGAGAACGAGCGCAGATGATCCAAGCGGGAAGTTCCACGTCCACTGCAACTGTAGCTACTGAAGCAGAAAAATCGCTCAAGAAACATTCCTGTTCAAGTAACCATTTCTGATGATGAAGACAATTACAGTGCCTCTTTGGAATCTAAAGATGCCCAAGATCAAAGCAGCCAAGATAGCAGAGAGACATATCAAGACAACACTGAATACAATACTGAAGAACCTGGGAACCTGTTCTACTGCAAACATTGTGAGTACCAAAACAAGTCTGCTCGCAGTGTCAGCACACACTACCAGAGGATGCACCCTTATATCAAGTTTAGCTTCAGATACATCCTGGACCCAGAGGATCAGAGCGCAGTCTTCCGTTGTCTCGAGTGCTTCATCGAATATAACAACTTTAATGATCTGCACCAGCACTATATGACACACCATCCAGAAGCAAGCAACGTTTTGAACTTTAACCAGCCAGATCTGGTGTACATGTGCCGTTTCTGTTCCTACACAAGTCCAAATGTGCGGAGCCTGATGCCCCACTATCAAAGAATGCACCCTTCAGTGAAGATCAACAATGCCATGATCTTCTCCAGCTACATGGTCGATCAGCCTTCTAAGGGTGCTGCTGAGTCCCAAACACTGAGGGAAATCTTGAATTCTGGGCCCAAGAGTTTCAGCCCCACCTCATCTGGGTCCAGATCATCATCCAGTCCTGCTCTCAAAAGCATCTGCAAAACGCCAGAAGCAAACACTGAGACTGAAGCTTTTCGAGAAAGTCTGGGTGGTAATGTGGTGGTTTACGACTGTGATGTCTGTTCTTTCTCAAGTCCCAACATGCACTCAGTATTGGTCCACTATCAGAAAAAACACCCTGAGCAAAAGGCCTCCTACTTCCGCATACAGAAGACCATGCGGGTCATATCTGTTGACCGAGCACAGTTGTCAAACAATTCAACCTACAGCCTGACGAGCACCCCCAAGTCTTCAAACGTCATCTTGCCTGTGGCTCTGGATGAAGATGTTTACTACTGCAAACACTGTGTCTACAACAACCGCTCTGTAGTGGGCGTTCTGGTCCACTATCAAAAACGACATCCGGAGATTAAGGTGACAGCAAAGTACATAAAACAAGCACCTCCAACTCCGGGACTGCTGAAACTCATGGATGAGTTACAAATCGCACCCCCTAAACAGTTTCTGAAGCAATTCAACAACAACGGTATTGAAGGATCAAGTAATTCCAACACTAAAGGAGCATCCGACAAAGGGGAACCTGAAATGCTGTTCTTCTGCCAGCACTGCGACTACGGGAACCGCACTGTGAAGGGGGTTTTGATCCACTACCAGAAGAAGCACAGGGACGTGAAAGCCAATGCCGACCTCATCCGTAGACACACGGCTGTGGTCAGGAGTCAGAGAGAACGAGCGCAGATGATCCAAGCGGGAAGTTCCACGTCCACTGCAACTGTAGCTACTGAAGCAGAAAAATCCAGGGCGTTACGATCTTTGAAGTGTAGACACTGTGTGTACACATCTCCTTATGTGTATGCCTTGAAGAAGCATTTGAAGAAGGATCATCCTACTGTGAAGGCCACGGCCATGACGATCTTACACTGGGCTTATCAGGATGGTGTGTTAGAGGCTGGTTATCACTGTGAGTGGTGCATATATTCTCACGCTGAACCAAGCGGGCTGCTCATGCATTACCAAAGACGCCATCCTGAGCACAACGTCGACTACACTTACATGGCCAGCAAACTGTGGGCTGGTCCTGATACTTCCACCAGCAGACAAGCTGGGAACTCTGAAACGAAGCATTACCAATGCAGAGATTGTGCCTTTGAGGCGTGCTCCATCTGGGACATTACTAACCATTACCAAGCAGTACACCCTTGGGCCGTCAAAGGTGACGAGTCTGTCCTGCTCGACATTATCAAGGGGAACCAAGCACCTGATAAGCTGCTCCCACAACTGCCCAAAGGACACGTTTCAATGTATAGTCCATTCAACAGCAACCAGCAGGAAGAGACTACAGTTGAAGTCAGCCGCCGAACACATGAGCGACAACCTAATCTCTCTCTGTCTGCCACGTCGTCTATCTCAAACAACCCTTACCAGTGCACCGTGTGCTTGTCTGAGTACAACAGTCTTCATGGGCTTCTGACCCACTATGGCAAAAAACACCCGGGCATGAAAGTGAAAGCTGCTGACTTCGCTCAGGATGCAGACATCAACCCTAGCTCTGTTTACAAGTGCAGACACTGTCCGTACGTGAACTCTCGCATCCATGGAGTTCTCACACACTACCAGAAACGACATCCTTCCATCAAAGTCACGGCTGAAGACTTTGCCGATGATGTTGAGCGGGTAAACGAGTTGGTTAACGAGGGGGATGAGCGATCTAAAACCCAGAGGCAGGGCTACGGTGCTTACCGCTGCAAGATGTGCCCTTACACACATGGCACTTTAGAGAAACTCAAGATACACTATGAGAAATATCATAACCAGTCTGCTGCAAACATTTTCAGAACAGCTGCCAAGCAGTCACCGACCAGAAGAGACGATTTGGTTGCTGAATGCAGTAGCAGCAGTGTGACCAAAGTCTCTGAGATTTGTGACTTTGACCTCGCAATTCCCGAAGTCGCAAAGAGTGACAAGAATGCGGTGTTTACATGTCAGCTGTGCAAATACTTCTGCTCCACCCGGAAAGGTATCGCTCGTCACTACCGTATCAAGCATAACAATGTCAGAGCGCAGCCCGAAGGGAAGAACAATGTCTTTAAATGTGCACTCTGCTCCTACACCAACCCCATCCGCAAAGGCCTCGCAGCACACTACCAGAAACGGCACGACATTGATGCCTACTACACGCATTGCTTGGCAGCATCCAAGACGGTGGGGGAGAAACCGAAAAAGGTGATGGTGCCCTTGGCGTCAGAGGCAGAGGCTCCAGCGATGAGCGAAGAGCTAAGGCTTGCGGTGGACCGTAGGAAATGTTCGCTCTGCTCCTTCCAGGCTTTCAGCAGAAAGAGTATCGTTTCTCATTACATAAAACGCCACCCAGGAGTCTTTCCCAAGAAGCAGCCCTCCAGCAAACTGGGCCGTTACTTCACTGTGATCTATTCCAAGGAGGCAGAGAAACCTCCATCTACGGAGGAGGTGGAAATTGTTGAAGTTAAGGATGAGGTTGAACCTGAAGGTGATGTGGACTGGCTCCCCTTTAAATGCCTGAAATGCTTCAAGCTGTCGTTCAGCGCGGCGGAGCTGCTGGTGATGCATTACAATGACTGCCACGACAAGGAGCTCAAGCGGGATTTCGTCAACATTCCGAGCCCAGCAGAAGATGGGACGGAGCTCTACCAGTGCACCCACTGTGAAATCAAGTTCTTGACTCTTCCAGAACTCAGCGTCCATCTGATAAACCACAATGAGGATTTCCAGAAAAGAGCCATGAGGCTAGAAAGAAGAAAACAGCTTCAAAGCAAGCAGAGGACGACAGAGCCACCAGAAGCCAAACCAGAGAATAAGGTGAGCTTAAACACCTTGTAATGGGTTAAAAGTGGTTATATTAGTTGATTTGATTGTCAGAATGAGTTGAAGTTTGGGCTGGTTACCTTGACTAACTTTCAAACTAGATTGCATCTAATGGTTTTCTGTTGTCATTGTCTCTTCCTATAGGTGGAGAGCACACCCAATAAGACTCCCATCGGCTACAGGTGCAACTTCTGCGTGGAGGTCCACACCACCCTCCGGGCCATCTGCAACCACCTGAGAAAGCATGTGCAGTATGGGGAGGCCAAGGAGGGACACGTGAAGGTACGAACATCCAAAGTTACTTCATGCTTCATCAAGGGCTTTTAGAAAGCATGACTGTATGCTAAATCTTCTGTGATCAGATTTATACAGCTGCATTAGTTTTCTCCCAAAGAGAAAGGAAAAATTTAAATCGCATCATATGACCCCTTTAACATTTTCAGTTTTAGGCATCTTATCAGATTTGTGCGCATTGCCTATATTCAGACCTTTTTGTCCTGAGGTGGCCTCTGTTCTTCTGCTCTATTCTAATAGCAAGTGCATTCACAGGCCGTTTGGACCCGTTTTTCTTGTTCACTTGTTTGGATTGTTAAACAATTCAGCTTCACATTCAATGAAATGGACAAATAGAGCAAATCCTTGAGTGTTGCAGAAGAAACAGGGTAAATGGACGAGTGCGGTGTTATGACATTTCCTTAAAGTCGAGCATTTTATTTCCCTGTGTGGGCATTCATGAAGAAAGCCTTGAGCGTGTCATAAAGTTGGTCATGTAATTAAATCTAGTGGCCTTGTGTTACACGTTTTGCATACAGAGAATTAAAGATTTTCTTCTTATTTCTAAAGCTCTTTTCTGAATGTGATGCTGCCTTAGAATGTGGACTACATTTGGTTTTTAGAAGCCAACAATGTTGCTAACAACTTTTTTGAACAGCCTTTCTGTCATGAGTGCATCTATGATGCCTCAAAATGCTTTCTAGGGAGGGTAGTTGACACAAAATGTGTCTATGGACTTCAAAAGATATTAGGAAAACATTTATATTAATGTAGAAGGGAAAGTGCATTTCTTAGATCCACATTTAATCAACTTTTATCTTGAGTAGTTGATTTAAAGTGGTCCTGCAGTGTGACAAATTAATTTTTAAAAGTGCATAAGTGCATAATTAAACAATGAATTAGCAAAATGCTGCTTAAAGAGCATAAATTTTAGTTTAAATTAGTTAATGCATGGTTGCAATATCTGTATTATAGAAGTAATGTATGCCGTTTTGTACAGTGTGATGGTTTTCATGATGATTAACAGTAGTCTTTAAGGTGGTCTGTTTCTGCAGAGAGCTGCATTTAAACATGGCAGAGTCCAGTTTGTTTATCACAGCAGAATCCTGAGACTCTCCATGCAGCCCTTCCGTCTCTCTGAAGAGAAAGCCAGTTCGGTCGTCTTGACGGTGTGGCGTGTAGAGAGGCGTGTAAGCGCCTTAGTGTTAGTATTCCACTGAGAGCGCCAGTGCTGGCAGGGAGGCCCGGGCCTGAGGGTTTGAACAGAAGCCCAGTGAGGATCAGCAGACGGGATGGGTCGCACCGGGCACTAGGGGGCAGCACTCTCAGGCACAGATCACATACTCTGAACAGAGACACATGGGCAGGGATTCCCAAACTTTTTCATCAGCTGAAGCCCGTTACTTCAATCATCTATTTAAAATTTAAAAACCCATTTGCATGCATGTTGGTTAATATTCACGTCGTCATGAATTTTTTTTAAGTCTCAAGTCTCAATTCTCAATTTATTTATAAAGCACAGTTAAAAACAACTACAGTTGACCAATGTGCTGTACAATGTTGTAAAAGACTTATAAAAACATGTATACAAACCAAGCAAACATCAGACAACAAACAACATCACAAGTCATAGGCTATAGTGAAGAGATACATTTTTAACTTTGATTTAAAAATATGTAATGTTGGTGCAGTTCTAATAAGGATCGGTATCGTGTTCCAAAGTTTAGGTGCGCAGCTATGGCAAAAGCTCGATCACCCCTAGATTTTAATTTTTGACTTTGGAACAGTTTTTGGAACAGTTATCTCTGTTTGGCAGACCTAGGAGTTCTTTCCGGATGATATTCACACAACAGATTGGAGAGGTAATGGGGAGCGAGGCCATTTAAACATTTAAAAACAAGCAAAAGCTAAAATGTTCGTATCTACGAACACCGGTTAAAAGACATGCAGCCGCATTTTGGAGCATTTGTAATATAGATATTGAACTGTTTATTCCCAGATACAGGGAATTACAATAATCAATTCTAGAAGAAATAAAAGCATGAATTGCGGTTTCAAAGTGCTTAAAAGAAAGGAAGGTCTTCACTTTAGCCAACGTTCTTAATTGGTAAAAACTTGATTTGACAACTAAATTTATTTATTATTTATCAAATTTAAGTGCACTGTCGAAAAAGACGCCCAAGTTTTTTACACCTGATTTATCATTTTTTACATGAGAAATGTTTGGGACTTCAGAAGAGCCAAACACAATGATCTCTGTTTTACTCTCATGTAGATTAAAAAAATTCAAAGGCATCCAGGCTTTGACATCGGAAAGACAGGCACAGAGGGAGTCTACACCATTTTTATGCTTCAGGGGCAAATAAAGTTGAGTATCGTATGCATAGCAGTGATAGAACAAGCCTACCTTATTTGTATATTTGTATAGTTGTATTTTATATTTAATCTGTATATCTGTATTTATGTTCTACTGTTAGTATTATCTGTATGCACCAAGGGTCTGAGAGTAACGCAATTTCAATTCTCTGTGTGTATGTGCTGTACATGTGGAAGAATTGACAATAAAGCAGACTTGACTTGACTTGACTTGACTTGTAACACTCCAAAGAGAAAGGAAAAATTTAAATCGCATCATATGACCCCTTTAACATTTTCAGTTTTAGGCATCTTATCAGATTTGTGCGCATTGCCTATATTCAGACCTTTTTGTCCTGAGGTGGCCTCTGTTCTTCTGCTCTATTCTAATAGCAAGTGCATTCACAGGCCGTTTGGACCCGTTTTTCTTGTTCACTTGTTTGGATTGTTAAACAATTCAGCTTCACATTCAATGAAATGGACAAATAGAGCAAATCCTTGAGTGTTGCAGAAGAAACAGGGTAAATGGACGAGTGCGGTGTTATGACATTTCCTTAAAGTCGAGCATTTTATTTCCCTGTGTGGGCATTCATGAAGAAAGCCTTGAGCGTGTCATAAAGTTGGTCATGTAATTAAATCTAGTGGCCTTGTGTTACACGTTTTGCATACAGAGAATTAAAGATTTTCTTCTTATTTCTAAAGCTCTTTTCTGAATGTGATGCTGCCTTAGAATGTGGACTACATTTGGTTTTTAGAAGCCAACAATGTTGCTAACAACTTTTTTGAACAGCCTTTCTGTCATGAGTGCATCTATGATGCCTCAAAATGCTTTCTAGGGAGGGTAGTTGACACAAAATGTGTCTATGGACTTCAAAAGATATTAGGAAAACATTTATATTAATGTAGAAGGGAAAGTGCATTTCTTAGATCCACATTTAATCAACTTTTATCTTGAGTAGTTGATTTAAAGTGGTCCTGCAGTGTGACAAATTAATTTTTAAAAGTGCATAAGTGCATAATTAAACAATGAATTAGCAAAATGCTGCTTAAAGAGCATAAATTTTAGTTTAAATTAGTTAATGCATGGTTGCAATATCTGTATTATAGAAGTAATGTATGCCGTTTTGTACAGTGTGATGGTTTTCATGATGATTAACAGTAGTCTTTAAGGTGGTCTGTTTCTGCAGAGAGCTGCATTTAAACATGGCAGAGTCCAGTTTGTTTATCACAGCAGAATCCTGAGACTCTCCATGCAGCCCTTCCGTCTCTCTGAAGAGAAAGCCAGTTCGGTCGTCTTGACGGTGTGGCGTGTAGAGAGGCGTGTAAGCGCCTTAGTGTTAGTATTCCACTGAGAGCGCCAGTGCTGGCAGGGAGGCCCGGGCCTGAGGGTTTGAACAGAAGCCCAGTGAGGATCAGCAGACGGGATGGGTCGCACCGGGCACTAGGGGGCAGCACTCTCAGGCACAGATCACATACTCTGAACAGAGACACATGGGCAGGGATTCCCAAACTTTTTCATCAGCTGAAGCCCGTTACTTCAATCATCTATTTAAAATTTAAAAACCCATTTGCATGCATGTTGGTTAATATTCACGTCGTCATGAATTTTTTTTAAGTCTCAAGTCTCAATTCTCAATTTATTTATAAAGCACAGTTAAAAACAACTACAGTTGACCAATGTGCTGTACAATGTTGTAAAAGACTTATAAAAACATGTATACAAACCAAGCAAACATCAGACAACAAACAACATCACAAGTCATAGGCTATAGTGAAGAGATACATTTTTAACTTTGATTTAAAAATATGTAATGTTGGTGCAGTTCTAATAAGGATCGGTATCGTGTTCCAAAGTTTAGGTGCGCAGCTATGGCAAAAGCTCGATCACCCCTAGATTTTAATTTTTGACTAGTTTTTGGTTTTTGGAACAGTTATCTCTGTTTGGCAGACCTAGGAGTTCTTTCCGGATGATATTCACATTGGAGAGGTGAGAGGTAATGGGGAGCGAGGCCATTTAAACATTTAAAAACAAGCAAAAGCTAAAATGTTCGTATCTACGAACACCGGTTAAAAGACATGCAGCCGCATTTTGGAGCATTTGTAATATAGATATTGAACTGTTTATTCCCAGATACAGGGAATTACAATAATCAATTCTAGAAGAAATAAAAGCATGAATTGCGGTTTCAAAGTGCTTAAAAGAAAGGAAGGTCTTCACTTTAGCCAACGTTCTTAATTGGTAAAAACTTGATTTGACAACTAAATTTATTTATTATTTATCAAATTTAAGTGCACTGTCGAAAAAGACGCCCAAGTTTTTTACACCTGATTTATCATTTTTTACATGAGAAATGTTTGAGATTTTAATTTTTGACTTTGGAACAGTTTTTGGAACAGTTATCTCTGTTTGGCAGACCTAGGAGTTCTTTCCGGATGATATTCACACAACAGATTGGAGAGGTAATGGGGAGCGAGGCCATTTAAACATTTAAAAACAAGCAAAAGCTAAAATGTTCGTATCTACGAACACCGGTTAAAAGACATGCAGCCGCATTTTGGAGCATTTGTAATATAGATATTGAACTGTTTATTCCCAGATACAGGGAATTACAATAATCAATTCTAGAAGAAATAAAAGCATGAATTGCGGTTTCAAAGTGCTTAAAAGAAAGGAAGGTCTTCACTTTAGCCAATGTTCTAAATTGGTAAAAACTTGATTTGACAACTAAATTTCAAATATCAAATTTAAGTGCACTATCGAAAAAAGACAACCAAGTTTTTTTTTACAAATGATTTAACTGAAGAAGATAAAACACCAGAATTTACATGAGAAATGTTTGGGACTTCAGAAGAGCCAAACACAATGATCTCTGTTTTACTCTCATGTAGATTAAAAAAATTCAAAGGCATCCAGGCTTTGACATCGGAAAGACAGGCACAGAGGGAGTCTACACCATTTTTATGCTTCAGGGGCAAATAAAGTTGAGTATCGTATGCATAGCAGTGATAGAACAAGCCATGCTTTTCAAAAATAGAGGCTAAAGGAAGCATATATAAAGAAAACAATAAAGGGGCCAAAATAGAGCCTTGGGGGACCCCACAAGTCAGGGGGACCGCCCCAGAAAAATATCGTTGTTTTTAGTTGTTTTATGTTTTTAGTTAGTGTTCAGTTTGATTGATTTGTTTATTATTTTATTTTTTTCCATTCAAGAGGAAAAATGCATACATTGACCAAAACAGGTATAATTTTTTACAATTAAACAAAAACATTAATGTTAATGTGGATGCAGAATGATTACCAGGTATGCATGCCATCTGTCCTAGAAACAAAATTCTCTAATTTTACAGAGATTTTGTATAATTAAAATGTTTAAGATTTATTTAATTAATAGTTTTTCATCAGTTTGAATTACAGTTTGGGAAACTTTGGACTACTGAATAGAATATTGGAATACTGTGCTGCATACTGCGTACTATTTATTTTGTCATATTTTCAAATCAGTATGCAATGTTAAATGTTTAAAATAGTAATATGACCTCACTGTTGTGGCATCTAGTTATCATGGATATGGTGTGTACTTTTTATCTTTGTAATCACTTTGTGTTAAATATCAGTCTGATCGATATAATGATTCAAGAATGGGCTGTTAAGATAATAGTTGGTATCACTTTTTAAAGGTCAAATCTGTTACTCTATCATCACAGTGGTGTATTTTACACAGACAAACTCTCAATTTTTTCAGAAAATGTCCAAATGTATTTCTCTGGTTGTGTTTGTGCCTCTGATTGGCTGATGGTGCAGGAGTGTCCTCTTTACAGTCGTCTGAAGTGCAGGGTCAATGTGCTCTCTCTCTCTGAAATGCTGAATTTCCTCTGGCTGTAAAGAAGCAGATTTCTCAGAAACACACAGGAACCTTGCAGCCATTTCTAAATTAAGAAAAAGGGATGTCCCTCAGAGAGCTTTAATGGCTGTAAATCAAACACGGATCATCTGTGCTTCAGTCCAGAGCTGATGATCACCTCCAAACCCAGAGAGAAATATCATATCAGTGTGATTATTAAAGGTCAGGAACCTTAAATATGTCAAGAACATGTTTCACCACAAAATGAAGAATATATATAAACTATATACTGTAAAGATGTGAATGAATGAGGCATTTATATAGTGCATTATTGTGTATTGCTGTACACCCAAAGTGCTTTACAATCATACAACGCTCACCACACACTAGCTACAGGTGGAGAGGAGAGAGAGTGATGGAACCAATTCAGTGGATAGGGATTATTGTTTTTAAAAGAAGTCTATTCGGCTGTATTTATTTGATCAAAAATACTGTAAAATTGTGAAATATTATTAAAATATAAATAGCTGTTTTATATGTGAATACATTGCAAAATGTAATTTATTTCTGTGATTTTAAGCTGGATTTTCAGCGTCATTACTCCAGTCTTCAGTGTCACATGATCGTTCAGAAATCATTCTAATACGCAGTAGTTTATATATATTACAGTAATGAGAATTAGCGGTGGAATGTGTTTAATTGTCATGAAAACAATGTCACAATGCAAAGCATCTTGCAGATTTTGTCCTTTATGTCCTGTATGAGTAATATCAGTCATTTCCTCTGACAGCAGGAAGCAGCGGAGATGCCTGTTGCTGTTCCCATGGACGGAATCACCAACGGTGACGTGGAGGATGTGGTTGCCATGGACGCTGACCCATTGGAGACTACTGGTGCATCACCGCCTGATGTCACCATGGAGACCATGGAGCCGGTGGCCGTGGAAACGGAGCCGATGGTTGGGCCGCTGGAGTCGGAGAAGGAGCGTGTGGTTCCTGGGCATCCGTGCAGTATGTGCAATCGTATGTTCATGTCCATGCAGGGCCTGCGCTCTCACGAGAGGAGCCACTCAGCTGTAGCGCTCGTCAACAGAAACGACAAATACAGCTGCCAGTACTGTCAGTTCGCCTCGCCGTTCAGACACAAGTGAGTGAGACTTCACATCGGTTAGTGAACGCAAGTTCAGCTTCAGATTCCTATTATTTTGTCATTTTTCATGCTTCACTTAAAAATGGGATTACATTTGACACGTCCACATCTCAGTAATTCAGTGCAAACGTATAAAATGGCTAATAAATGAGAATACTAATAAATAAACTAAAATACACTAAAATAGATTAAAAAAAGTGCAGTTCTCATTCTCAGATTAAGCATTCTGATAGCTGTAGGGTAAAAGCTGTTTAACAGCCTAGTATCATTGATCTGATACTTCTGTATCTTTTACCGGACTGTATCTGTATCTTTAACTGTTCCTGTAGAAAGAAACTAATTTTGAGAAAACGCCCTAAAAACTAGAGACTTAAATAGATAAAGTGCAATAGAAAAACAGGCTAATGACATATGAACAAACCCCTCAGTAAAACTCTTCAGAATAGTATTAGGAATAAAACTGTAAAGTTTGGTGTATGTTAGTGCTGCTGAAGTGGAGAAACAAACTCAGGGCCTTTAAAAATATGCATTTTCACCATGTTTTTAGGAATAAGATGTCTTATAAATCAACGTGAATGATATATGAACAAACCCCTCAGTAAAAATCTTCAGAATATTAATAGGAATAAAACTGTAAAGTTTGGTGTATGTAAGTGCTGCTGAAGTGGAGAAACAAACTAATTTTGAGAAAACGGCATAAAATCTACAGACTTAGATAAAGTACAATAAAGAATCAAGTGAATGACATATGAACAAACCCCTCAGTAAAAACCTTCAGAATATAGATAGTAATAAAACTGTAAGTTTTAGTGTGTGCAGGTTTTGCTAAAGTGGAGGAAAAAAACTTTTAAAGATGCGTGTTGGAATTAAAATCTACTGACGCAAATAGATAAAGTGCAATAAAATAAACACTTAAATTTCCACTAGTCCACTAAAAACACATTATGAAAAGACAAAAAGCCCAAATTTTCAAAATAGACCAATGCATGATTTTGTCTTGTAGTGTCTCGGCTTCAAGCACTAAAATAATAAACATTCTTTGTGAATTCTTTGTCTCTTACATCAAACAAAGAGAGCAGGAGATGAATAGAGAAATACAAAAAAAACTCCTGAGGGAAAACACACTACCGTTCAAAAGTTTGGGATCAGTAAGACTTGTAATGTTTTTTTAAAGAAGTCTCTTCTGCTCATCAAGGCTGCATTTATTTGATCAAAAATACAGAAAAAAACAGTAATCTTGCTAAATGTTATTACAATATAAAATAATGGTTTCTATTTTAATATCCTTTAAAATATAATTTATTTCTGTGATGCAAAGCTGAATTTCCATCATAATTACTCCAGTATAAAGTGTCACATGATCCTTCAGAAATCATTCTAATATGCTGATTTATTATTAGAATTATCCATTTTTTTTGGAAACTGCGATACTTTTTTCAGGATTCTTTAATGAATAAAAAGTTAAAAAGAACAGCATTTATTCAAAATATAATTATTTTCTAACAATATAAATCTTTGCTATCACTTCTTATCAATTTAACACATCCTTGCTGAATAAAAGTTTTAATTTCTTTCAAAAAAAGAAAGAATAAAAATGTACTGACCCCAAACTTTTGAACTGTAGTGTATATTGTTAGAAAAGATTTCTATTTTAAATAAATGCTCTTCTTTTTAACTTTTTATTCATCAAAGAATCCTGAAAAAATTATCACGGGTTCCAAAACAACCCGTGATACGCATCACAGAAATAAATTACATGCTGCGCATCACAGAAATAAATTACAGTTTAATGTATATTAAAATAGAAAAACCTTATTTTACATCATAATAATATTTCACAGTATTTCATTTTTTTCCTGTATTTTTGATCTAATAAATGCAGCCTTGATGAGCAGAAGAAACTCCTGTAAAAAACATTAAAACCGTCCTGATACCAAACTTTTGACTGGTAGTGTATGTGAGATGTAAATTGTGCACGCGCTGGACTGTCACGTCTCCTCATTTACTTCCTGTGAGAATGGCAGATATTTTGACAGAGCTGTAAGTCTCGTCTGAAGCGCAGGACCTTTGTTTGGTTCCCTGGAGTAAATCCTCCTTCACTGGATGTTCCGTGACACAGAAAGCTGCCGCATTCATGTGCCACACGGGAACCGCAGATAAAAACCACTAATCCCCCAGATCCCTGTCGGAGACGGCTGTTTTGTCAGAGTCTCAGCGCTAAAGCAGGGATCTTCTGCCGAGAGGTGTTCCTTTCACAGATCTGTAGGGTTATCATTAGACGCATCCCGGTCGATTAACTTTTTCTGCCTGTCCTTGTGGAATCATTCAGACGTCCTGAATCTTCCTGAAGTGTCCGCTGACAGCACACCTGTGACACCTGCTGAGCGTTAGTGCGTGCTTTACGTATTTGTTTTATTTGTAGTTTTTATGAGAATAGAGGACGGGAAGTGATAGAGATTGGGAAATCAATCCTGTATCGCCCACATGAGCTTCAGAGCGTGTGCACTACAGTGCTCACATGCTAGTAACTTTCTAATCATGCTAGAAACATGCTACTCACTTGTTAATCATGCTAGTAACATGCTAGTAGCATGCTAATCATGTTAGCAAACATGCTAGTAACATGCTAATCAGGCTAGAAACATGCTAGAGACATGCTAGTAACTTGCTAATCATGCTAGCGACATGCTAGTCATGCTAGCAACATGCTAGTTACTTGCTAATCATGCTAACATGCTAGTTACTTGTTAATCATGCTAGCAACATGCTAGTAGCATGCTAACATGCTAATCATGCTTGCAACATGCTAGTAACTTGCTAATCATGCTAGCAACATGCCATTTACTTGCTAATCATGCTAGCAACATACTAGTTATTTGTTAATCATGCTAGCAACATGCCATTTACTTGCTAATCATGCTAGCAAAATGCTAGTAATAGGCCAATCATGTTAAAAACATGCTAATCATGCTAGAAACATGTTATCAACATCATGTGATCTAATCTATCTACATTTTCAAACTTCAGGCTTTTACAACTGCTTTAAACTTTCAGGCTAGGCTTTCTCAAGCCAACCTAAAGTTTGTCTTGACTAACAGTTTTAGTTAACAACTAGATAAAAAGTTCAAGTAATTTTCTTTACTTGTTTTTTTTAATCAATTTAAAAATTTAGGTGGGTATCACTATTAGAATGTTCTTTTCATGTTGTTGTATGTAGTTGTACGTTTTGTTTTTGCATAATTAAAAAAAAAAAAGAGTAAAATAGATTTTATTTTGTAAACTTCCAAATAAAGATATTTAAACAAATACTTAAATGAAAAATTAATATTGCCTTGGCAACCGACTTATATTAAATAAGTTGAAGTGCTAAAATAGCTAAAACTGAAATAAAAATAATGCTATATAGATTTTTTTTTTAATTAATAAACTTAAACTAAATTTAATATGATAACTAAAAAAAATAAAAGCTAATTCAAAATATTAATAAACATTATAATAGCATATATAAATAATACTAAAATTACACTGGTTAAGCAGAAGTGAGCTGAACATCGCTCATTGAGGATGCTGTGACTCTTTTGGTTTTAATCAGATGCTTGTTTGTCCTCCATATGTGTGTCTGACCGCTGTCTTTTCTCTCCAGTCTGGACCGTCACATCCAGTCACACCACGGACATCAGAAGCCCTTCCGCTGTAAGTTCTGTCCCTTTAAATCCTCCTACCTGAGCCGCCTCAAGAGCCACCTGCACAAAGCACACGCAGGTGAGACGCTACACACACACACACACACAAGCGTTTAATTAACTACTGTAATCTCCATATTAAATGTGCTTCGGTCTAGATTTATAGCTTGAGCTGGTTTCAAGATTCTTGGAGACGACTGACATGTGACTTTAACAAGGCGATTGAAATGAGTTTGAGACATTAATGAACTCACTGAATATGACTGACAGGACGAGATGAGTGACGTTTTCACTGCTGGAGAGAAGATATGAAGTTCTCAAAGCCACACCTGTAATTAACATGAACATGACCGCCTGCGTGTGTGTGCGTGTGTGTGTGTGTGTGTGTGTGTGCATGTTTATGTGGTTTATGAGGACACAAATTTGTATAACATGGGTATGACATAGGTATTACAACGAGAAGGTGATTTATGAGGACATTTTCAGTGTCCCTGTAATTCAAAAGGCTTATAAATAATTCAGAATGAGTTTTTTTGAAAATCTAAAAATGCACAAAGTTTCCTGTGAGGGGTAGGTTTAGGGGTAGGGTTGGTGTAGGGCAATAGAA